ACAATCTCTACATTCCTTCAAGAAGGAGCAAGGGTTCCAACGCCTATTACCTATAACTTTGTTCCAATATGGAATATTCTTAAGACAAGGTAATATTATTATTAACTATTCGAACTATTAGTTTCAGCAATTGCTGACGATTATTGAGATCTTGTCAGTCCTATCAATGCATGGCTTTATCATACCTCAGATTTATAACAAATATAGCACACCATAATATTTTCAACACCATAAATGAAGTAAAGAGAAGAATAAATAAAGGCGTGGGGGGACACGAGTGAAAAACACACGCTCGTGCCTTAAAGTTCAGCAGGAAATTCAGCTTCTTGTTTACAAATAAAACCCATGAAGGTTTACCGTGCGGGGGAGGAGTGGGAGGCATTGTCACGCTTGTCAATAACCAAATTTTGTTGTTGTTGTTTGTATTTTAAAACCAAACACAGATATATTGGCACACCATCAATGGCAAGAGTGCTAAACCTCGAGCAATTCTACAAAGGTTATCTCCACTTTGGGTGCTCCTTCGAAGAAACGTCCAATGGCAAAGTGCTCCAGAAGTTTGTTCTCAGCAAGGAAAGTGATCCTGACGTACCAACATACAAATGTATGCTGGGTCCAAGTGGCTGCCATTCCGATTCTGATTGCACGTACAAACATGCCTTCTGGTGCGCTTGCGCCGGCGAGTCGTGTATTCGCTACAAAGATGTGAAGCTCAACTCAGGATCCACTAAAAAGGAGGCCTATGCTTACACAATTGCGTCCCCCGGTTGGGGCTGGCAAGGATGTAAGCTCAAATTTTTCAAATGCAAGTGTAAAGAACCAAGAGTTAACTGGGAGGAGAGTTGGTCAGGTGACGATGAAGAGGGTCTACGCGATGTTCACTCTGCGATAGCTATGAAGAGAGGGAAAGTTGATGCACTCACAGACGAGTGCAATAAGAAACATAATGTTATAGACAAGGAATAGTAATTGCTTCTTGCATGGATTATGGTTTATTACAAGTGTAACTTGGAAATCGGTAACTAGTAAAATACAAACAATGCGAACCCAGGCGTTAGAAAGATTGAAGGCACAAATAAACAAGCTCATTAAAAGCAAATAAATGCAAATCATTTGTTCTCATTGGTTTCTTTTGTCTTATTATCATTATTTAAACACTCCTACCACTCTTTCTCTTTTACTCCGATGAAGGACTAGCGTCCGAAACGTCAGTAAGTTTTTTTTTACTTTTCACGGTGTATAATTTACCCTTTTATCATTACCAAATCATATCGTATTAACTTGCACTTCACGACTCAACACTGATGTTTACGCTTATAAATTATTGATAGTAATAGCATGACATTTTAAACCTCCCAAGTCCCCAAATCGTTG